CCCCCCCCCCCCCCCCGCCCCCCCCCCCCCACCCGGGGCCCCCCCACGGGGTTGCCCTTCTCGGGGTGCCGTCGGCCAGACAGTGTCGGCTAGCGACCCCCAGGGGGAGAGCCTTCTCTGTGGGAGCGCCTTCCCTCTGGAATGAACTGCCCCCAGAGCTTTGTATAATCCCCGACCTCCGGTCCTTCCGACGCGCCCTAGTTGGCTTTTCCAGCAAGCCAGCCTGGCCTGAACAAAACAAAACAAATTATTGATCATTGTTAATTTTAATTTGATTTTTTAAAAAAAAATGTTATTGTCAATTGGGTTTGTTTGGGATATTCTATTTAATTTTTTTTAACTTTTGTATTATGTGTTTCTTTTAATGTTGTACGCCGCCCTGAGTCCTTGGGAGAAGGGCGGCATATAAATCTAATAAACCAAACCAAACCAACAAATAAACATAATTGTGTTGTGTTGTATACATCTGTGGGGATTATTTTAAATGATACAATTTATGTAATCATATATTGAATGTAATTAAACTAAATTGTTCTTAATTCCAAAGATATTCTTCTTATCTGCCTGCAAATTGAACTAAAAACACAATCATAGTTTTGCAACCATTCCTTAATTAACATTATTCTGTGTCTCTGTAATATATTTTAGTTGTTGCCTTTTGTTTTAACTGTGCTTTATGTATACTGACAGAATTTAGTCCTGCCTCATAAATGTACTTCAAGCCTGTAACAATTGCTATACTCAAATTAAGTGCAATAATTCAAAAAGCTATTACAAACCTTTCTGTTTGGGCCTCTCCAATACAAAAATACAAGGGACATCATCACTTACAAAATGAGTACAAAAATTTATCACATGGGATAATTTAAGTAAAATTCACATAGTGGAAGAGGACAGATTATGATTATAGAGTCCATATTAAAGTAATTATAATAAGGTTCACATGTGATCACTCTCTTTGATGTCTTTCCTGAAAACCTTACTTCCAGGAATTGCTTCTCACTGTATCACAGTGCTTTCAACACTGTAATATGATATGATATATTATAGTATAGTATTACATCTGTTTCCAAGTCTTCTAAGCTAGTTCAAGCATAAGGTTGACTCAGCCTTCCATCCTTCAGAGGTTAGTAAAATGAGGACCGAGAGTGTTGGGGGCTATATGCTGACTCTCTAAACTGCTTAGAGAGGGCTGTAAAGGACTGTGAAGCAGTATATAAGTGATATTGATATTTCTGTAAGTATGTGGTTTGCAGAGAAATGAAGGCAGAGGCAAGAAGGGGAGCAGGTGTGAATGATCAGTCACTGCAGAATTTCTGAATCTTCAGAAGCAGCTCTGAATGCAGTATTTACTATTACTGAAACAGCAGACAGGACTATCCTGCTGACAATAATTTATGTGTGTGGTGGAGGAAGGGGAACCAAAGTATCTGATGAAGAATAAGCATTTACAAGACTTACTTGAACATAGTCATGTAACGTTCAATTCCATCTCTTTCCCCCATCTTGTGCAGCCAATCATTATAGTCGGCACGAGGACCTTCGGGGCTTTTCAGAGGGAAGAATACAAACTTTATCTACATGCAGGCATTATACATCATTTGAACTATTAAAAGTGCTTACTTTCTGGTTTGATTTTAGCAATGATAAATTATAAGAGGAATTAATGTCCAAATGTGCAGTCCTTGGTCCTCTAAGTGTAGGTTTTTTTTGTTTTTGTTTTGCAGATACTTCATTACCAAACTAGGTAACAATATCAATGCACTGGTGATGTTACCTAGTCTGGTAATTAAGTATCTGCAAAAAACCAACCACAGCATCAAGGACTCTACAGTTCAATCCCAAACTATAAATATTCTCTGCTATTGGTAATGTACTGTTTTACCAATATTCTAGAATAATATGAAGAGTAACTTTATTTGCAGATAACAGTTGCATCTGTTAATAAAACATAACTAAAAAGAATGTGAACCATTGATAGTTATCAATGCTGTATTCCATCAAGTCAGTTCAAACTGTTAGAAGAACACTCACAACTGTTTAAATATCAATGTAAAAAAATAATTTGTTACATAAAATCTGTTCACAGAAAAATGCCAAGCACTTGGTGTAAACCAAAAGACAGAAGGTTAGTGAGGCTGAATAAATATGCAACTGAATTTGTACATTCAAACTCAAATGAAGCTATCAAACAAATTATGTCACAAAATATCACAAAGTTTTGATAAGGGCCAATAAGTAAAGAAAGCATTGAAAAGTTGGCAAAAATAATTTTCTTTAATTTGGCCTTCAATTGTATATTGTACAATTGTATACAATTGTGTACTTAAGAGCTGCTTTCATCACTAGTTAGCATTTATGAGGAAAAAATACTTCCATAATGAAAACTGCCTTAGATTCTGTTAAATGATGCAATAGTGTGGGTTCCTCATAATCCTAATTTTCCACAATAACTGCTTCCTGCTGCTATTGATCTGGTTTCCACACTAAGCAAGCTTCTACACAGATTTAAATTCCAATTTAATTAAAGTTGACTTCCTAATTATTTAAATTAAAATGAAATTTAAAAATCCCTTCCTTGTAAAAACCAGTCTGTTGATAAGAATGTGATGATAAAAAAGCCACAGGTAATAAAAAATTTCTTACTTAAGTAGTAAAGAAAATATATAGGTGAACTTATGCTGATTAAGCAAACAGCTTCCAATAATTATCTAGGTCAGGAAGTACTTCAAATAACCTCTGAAGATAATTCTCAGCTGATCCAATGGACGTTAGTACAATGAGTAATGTTAACTGATTAGACATACCTAATAATAGAAGCAAAGAAAGTCGTTAACAAATCAGAACAGATTTATGCTCCACTTACCTATTATAACGAGTCTTTTCCTGTTCAGACATGTTTTTCAAAAGGAACTCTTTTAATGTATAGGTATTCTCAAGCCATTCAATCAGTCCCAATCTGTAAAAATAAATAAATTCAAACTTGTTTTTGTTAGGATATGGCTATAGGAGGATGACTGGGAGAACCAGAGGGAGGAGTTAAAAGAGGTATTAGTTGAGAATCATTACAAAGCCACAAGTCAGCTAAGTCCAACGTCCCCCCATCCCCAAATCCCATTGATCTAGCTCTAACCAGGTGCTAACCATTAATCTGAGAAGATTCCTGTGCATAGGCTTTAACAATAAATCCGTAATCTAGAACTTCTATGTATGGATTTGATTTTTCACATCGACAATAGCAAAATAATGCATTTCTTACGGAGGGATAAAGTATCTAAAGGAACTAGACAAATCATCCATGTTAAAATATTCTAAACACACAAGAGATGGCACGGTGCATGTTTTGAAAACAGCTTCAGAGGAGTATCTGAAGAATGTGGGGGAGGCCCACAAGTAATTCAGAGGTGGTGCTCTGTAATATACAGCAATTATTTCCAACAAGGTCTTGTGATGAAGACAAAAGTCTCTGTTCTACATAAGGGTTTAGCATGTGTCTACCTGGTCGTCATTGGTATAACTTGATAGGTTTTTATCTGCATGTTTCTTTGGCTGCAGGCAGCATCTCGTGAAAGAATGTTATTCATAACTTCAAAGAGCTGCTCAATGCGTTGGTCTTGCCTGAGGTCTTCTCCTCCTTTCACAAGAAAGGGATATTCCCGCTCATCATTGCCTCTGATAACTATACGTTTTGGTTTCCGGATGGAGTCCATTACTTTTATCTTTGACAGAATGTAGAAGAAGAAAAATACAGAGCAGATAAGAAAATACAATGTCATACAAATTGACCCCTAAAGAAGCTACAGAAGTATTTCTATGCAGCACCAGAAATGAAACCCAGAAATGAAATTCTCTCCTGAGTTTTTCAAGAAGTATTGTCTACAAACAGCATCTCATGTATATACATATACATATACATTAGATTTTTACAACCCCCAGTATGCCCAAATATATAACCCCTGGTAAGCACAAATACAACAAAATATACATATACATATACATACATACATATACATATATATAAAAAACATTTTATGTTTTTGTATGTCGCATGGGTTTAGTGACCTGCAATTTGTAGTAATAATAAACAAGATTTACAGTAAATTAAAATTAATAAAATTGGAAAGTAGGGGCAGAAGGAGGTAAATCACACCCAAGATGTATTAGATATGCTATAGAATTTCTGTATTTGTGGAGTACAAGACACACCGTAGTATAAGATGCACCAAGGTTTTGAAGAGGCAATTTTTTTAAAAAAAAAAATTGAACTCTGCAAACCTCCCCAAAACAGCCTGTTTTTCGCGAAAACAGGCCCGTTTCCCTCCCCACCAAAGGGCATGAATAGCCATTAGGAGGCTTGTAGAATGCTCCTGGGAGGGGGGGCAAAAATGAGCAAAAAACGGCCTGTTTTTGAAGCAAATGGGCCCATTTTTTGTCAAAAAAAGGGCATGGATAGCCCTTAGGAGGCTTATAGAGGGCTCCTGGGGGCTGGGTGGGGGCAAAAGTTTGCAAAAAGTGGGCTGTTTTTTGCTCATTTCTGCCCTCCCCAGCCCCCAGGAGCTCTCTGAGAGCCTCCTAAAAGCTATGCATGGCCATTTTGGTGAAGGGGGCGGGGTTTGGGGAGGCAAAAATGCTGTATTCAGTGTATTTCAGCCTCTTTTTTTGAGGGAAAAAGATGTGCCTTATACTCTGAGAAATATGGTAATTATGAATAAAATACTTAAAAAATCATACCTGAAAAATTTTCCTACTTTAAAATGCAAACAATCCAGTTTTTAGTAAAATGATATCTTAACAATTCTTAATGGCCTTGATACTGCTCTTAAATTTGGTTATACATACAATCAATAATGAAAAAGCCATGTTGCAAATAAACAGATTCAGTTTGCTGCAGGTCCCTGATTTTCAAAAGGCACAGATTCAAAATCTATTAATATATATGATTTCCAATAGGAATCTCATTGGATATTGACAGCTGTCATGGACCTTTCATTTGAACTTATAGCCACTTGTGTTTTTGAGAGAGGTAATAAACACTATGTTTTTGCAGTTATTATTTTTGCAAAATGGAAGTCACAGTTTGAGATTTCCTCCATTAGATCCTAAGTGATTTCTAAGTGAAAAAATCAGCATGTAGAATAGATCTGTCATTTATATGAGAACAGAATTCACTTTTCTTCTGGAATATTCTGAAACACTGGTTTAGAATTTAAGAGAACAGGGAAAATCAAGCAAGTATATATAATTTGCTACACTATATATATTGTGATAGCATACAGGGCTTCTTTAATAGGTTTTTCCACAAATAATTATCTGTGACTGAGAAGGATATTTTTCCTTCTTTGTAAATTATTACTCTTGCTTCATTTTCTCTTCCATTTTATTCCATTTTTCTTTCATTCACTCTCCATTGCAGTTACCCCTTTCCTTTATTCATCTCTTTTCTGCTTTATTCTCCCAGATTAATTTTTGCTGTTTCTGCTGGAAGGAGGGAGAGGAATGTGTGTAACTGTATGTTTCCATCTATGATAGTCAATGGGATATATGCAGTGGGAAAATCAATTTTACAAATGGAATTTCTTTAGCTTTCAACCAATTAATTTTAATCAATAGAGGCTATCAACTTTTCCTGTTTTGGCAAATGACTTCTGGAGAGGCAGATCCTGCATATGTATCAGATTCTTTATTGCACTGAGTAGATTAAGATGGAGAAAATGTTCAATTATTATTTAAAATTAAGATAAATTTCTACTCCAATACTAACAATATGCTCTGTAGGTTAATAGTTTAACATACCCGCTCATCAAATCCAGAAATTTTTGCATGATATTCCGGCAATGGCTTTCCTTTACCATCATACTGACCTGAGTAAGTAAAAAGTTGTTTTTTTTAAAAAAAATGTGGCTTTTAAAAATGTTTATTAGATCAAATAACAAATATCTTTATCAGAATATATTATATGCTTGATACATTTTTATCTTGTACACAATGCAGTATTACAGTGGTAGAAAAATCTCAGGTTATTTTTTTATAGTAGAAAGGTAATCGTATGGAAAGGATACCTGTTAAGAGAGCTTCAATATGATTCTTGCAATTCTAGTTTTGACATCAAGATTATTAGCAAAAGCTTTTAGGAAAACGCTGCTTTTGTAAAGTATTGTCAATTAAATTCCTATCTTAAAAGGAGCTTTAATATGTCACAATCATTTTAGATCAATTGAGAAATTTGTCAGGGTGGTTCTGGTGAGCACTCATTTACCAGAAACTCAAGTTCAGGATTTTTTTTAAAAAAAGACTGATTTAGGAATCTAAACTCTAAATGGTAAATCACTTTTATGAAGTCAACGATGCCCAGAGATTACACCTCCACAGAAACCTTGAGGAAAACCACATATAAAGTATCAAACAATGTCAACTAATACACACACTAAACCCTCCCACTACAAAATAATTAATAGGCAAGACTAGAAAGCAGAGGAAAATAGCCTTACAATACTCCCCGTTTCTTTTGTTCATTTATTTCAGGCACATGAACACAATTTCAAACAAATTGAATATTCTGGAGATAAAAGGGAGCCTGATGATTAGTATGTTGTTTTGCAGCATTTTCACTAAAATTCCAATGGGCCAGGCACCTTGGTAGTAAGCACACTATGCAGGTACCATTTTAGCACCTCTGTCCTGAATACCAAGCAAAAGCAAAATGCCATTGTTTCTTTTCCTCTCACTGTACTAAAAACAGTTCGACCTTGTTTTAAATTGTTTTACATCACATTTCAACCAAGATGCATTTTCTCATATATAAAGCTTTTGAATTAAAGTCACGTTTGAAGATTTCATATTTCTCCAAAGTGGTAAAAATCAGAGATAAGGTAAAGGTTCCCCATGCACATATGTGCTAGTCGTTCCTGACTCTAGGGGGCGGTGCTTATCTCCATTTCAAAGCCGAAGAGCCAGCACTGTCCAAAGACATCTCCGTGGTCATGTGGCTGGCATGACTAAATGCTGAAGGCACACCGATCGCTGTTAACTTCCCACCAAAGGTGGTCCCTATTTTTCTACTTGCATTTTTACATGCTTTTGAACTGTTAGGTTGGCAGAAGCTAGGACAAGTAACAGGAGCTCACCCCATTAGGCAGCACTAGGGATCTGAACTGCTGAACTGTCGACCTTCTGATCAACAAGCTCAGCATCTTAGCCACTGAGCCACCCCAGAAAAATCAGAGATATAAAATATCAAATAGTCTAGTCCAACCCATTGTGATTATAAGATATTACTTCAATTAATAATATTTTTTCATTAGGGACATTCTTTAATTTATAGGGAGTTTTCTTCTTTTTACTCTCCAAAGTGTAATTTACCAGGGATTTCCAGTTCAGTCCTCAAGAATTCTGGTTTGAATTCACTCATCCAAGGGGAGCACTCCTTTAGATTCCCAGGTTCTTTCTCACATTTCTTCATCTTTGCCCAGAGAGAGAGTGCAACTTTACTGAAGATGCTGGTGTTCATATCTAGCAGTTTTGAACCTCCTTTTCCGAAATGATTATCAAGTTCCCTTCCAAATTCCTGAAATAAAATGCATTTACAACAAAACACTAGCTTTAATATAAGAAAAATATTTAGGCCATTATGAAAAAAAAGTATAATGGTATCCTTAACAAAGGACCAGAGGAGAACCTTTACAAACTGCCAGAACTAAAGTGTTAACATGCCAAAAGTTAAGTGGTCAGTAGAAAGAACAAGCTGTGGCCAGGGAAGGACTCCATGTATATAAAGAATTATGATTTGTGAGTGACGAACTGCATACAATGAGGTGGGTTCTTATGAAACTTCCAAAAGTTACCACTGGATTGTCCCCTTGTGATGGCACTTTTCACTGAAGTTAATAAAAGGGTACATGGATAAATATGTCCTCTTAGAGAAACTGCCACACTGAATTGCAATCACAGCTGCATGAACTCCTCTTTTCACTAGTGGAATAAAACATAACTAAGCCAAAAGAAAAAACATTTGAG